TAATGGCAGCAAAGCCAACTCTTCTTTCCAATGTGCATTAGATGGGGAGTAAAAGGACAGAACGACTCCGACAAACAGAACGTGAGCCTACTGGAAGGAAATAACTAAAAAAAAAAAAAAAAAAGGGCGAGGGAAGGGGAAATCAAAACAATAGTTTTCAAATCATCATGCACCGCAGTTGTAGTGTAAAAGGATCAGGGAGTCGGGCGGAGAGTTTGGATAAGGAGATTATGGTTAATGAGGGTAAAGATTCTAGAAGAAGATATACGCCAGTAGAAAACTGAGAAGGCAGAGACCTGCTACGGCTTGTAGCGGTACTCCGCTTGCAGCAGCAAGTTGAGCAGGGGCTTGGGCTTGCTTAAGGGATGATTGACCGGTGGAAAGTTCGCCTCCTTCAGCCGGTTTCTTTCTTTGCCTCAATTCATTATCAGCTAACTGTTGCTGTAGCTGCTTAATTTGCAATCTTGCTTCCGCTAGCTGCGAGGAGAGAAGGTCGTCGCTCGATTGAGAGGGTTCGGCACGCGTAGATGAATTGACTACGTTAGAAACGTTACCGGTCTCGGGTGAGGGTTCAGACGGGCTTTCTTGCTTTATTTCCTCCGACCTAGAAGGTGGGCTGGTATTACCGCCAGTTGTTGATGAACCGAACCGTTGAACAACAGGAGTGGTGAACTGGGGCCCCTGGGGAGAGGAGTGTAGCTGAGGTTCCGCATCAGGCTCCTGAAATAATGAGGAATTAGTCAACATGCTTTCCCGAAATCATGCATAGCGGATACGCCAATCCTAAACTTATATAGGGGGAGGGAGCTTAAATAGGGATATAAAGCTGGTCCCGGATAACACTTACCACTCCGTTGGTATGTGAGTCTTCACTGGGAAGGAAGTTGACTCGGATTTTCCGCTCTTGGATTAGAGACTTGGACTTCTTTTCAACATCCTGCCACTGTTAAATTATAAGCGACCACAGTTCCGTCAATTCCATGCGTGTGGGAGGGCTAAGAGTGCGATACACACAATAGAGGCAACATTCGAGAACTCCTTATCAGCGGAGACAGCGACAGACTGAACAAGGAATTTATCACGGCACTTTGCGTCAAGAGGGGGGTCCTCTTTCATCGCCTGGAGGAGAACTATTATCGGTTTGCGAATTAATGACTGACCACAACCAAGATCAAGAGAGATGTGGGAGGGGAGCTGGGAGATTTGCGAATATGATTACCCTGGACTTCAACTTGTTTCCCAGGCTCGATGCGGCCGGAGTTTGGACGAACGCAATAACTGGTTTCATCTGATTAACACTTTGAAAACAGCTGGTTAAAGTAATGCGAATATTGTGCGTGCGGCTCACTGTTTCGGGGCGGTGGTTTTAACCTGTATTCCGAGTAAGTAACTAAACAGGAAACGACCTTTTTTTCAGACAAAGTAGAAGACGTACTTTGAAGGCAACCGGATCGCTATTAGGATTCCGCAGGTAGAGAATCTCGCTGACTTCCTTAGTGAATGGCCCTATATTGTAGAGTGGTTAGGCACAAATCGCGGGCACGGCGAACTTGGGAATGGCGAAACGTACGCTTGAAACCGAGCTCGCCAGGTTCTATTTCAACTGACATGGTGGCAGCAGTAAGACGACAGCTATGACGGGTGTATGAAGTACGACCTCAGCGGGAGGATTGAGAAAAAGAGTGGTGATGAAGCGAGTTGGTGTAAGTATTTATTATCGGACTTGCTGCTGGCAAGTTGATAGCCTGAGATAGTCCCTTAACCTGATTAGTAAGAAGTTATCATGTGATCGGACAAAGCCCGTGCTTGTTGCCCAAAGCTTTTCCTTTCAACCTCAAGCGACAACGACGACGACGAAGAGCAGATGAAGAGCTGAAGAAGCCATCAACATACGGTGCGGGGAGTTGAAGTCTTATACAGTGGTTTTGTACAGTGGTTGACTGTCAAACTTTCGCAATAAATCACACAACACCTGGTTAACTACATATCATCCTGAAGACATCTCTGGCCACCAACTGTTGCTGTCCCACACAGAGCAACTAAATACCTAGATCATCTGCCTCTCTAGTTGTTTATTGAATAAAGCGTTCATCTCGGTGAAACCTGCCACTGGCATTATGGACGGCATCTACGATTTCTACTCCAACTACGCTCAGAAACTAGTGCAAGGCCTTCAACCATGGAATTGAGGAATTCACAGCCGGTTCTGTACGCTATATCCGGATCCCCACGATCCCTCCACATTAACCAGGGATATGCCCACTCTGGCCCTTGTCTGTTGCCTGTGAATCATTGATTGGGCCATGAAGAGAAGCTGTGCGGAGAAATTGTAATCAGCTGTGGTCTAGGAACTGCCAATACATAAGAGGAACTTTGGCCTAGTTTGATAAAAAATTATATATTTAAACAGACGGCGAGCTCACTTTTGAGCACCATCTTTACTCAATACACCCAATTGTTGCTGGCGGGGACAGAACGTATAACCGCTATACCAACTACAGTGGCCTGGGGTAAACCGGCTAGTAATTCAAAATAGTCAGATTGATATAGCCTGGCAGAAGCTGTATGGAAGGCTTTCTAGCTCACCCCCAAATGCTATAAGGTATAAAAAATAGATATCTATATTCATACAGAGTAGTTAATGAATTGTTTTCTTCCAAGTTACTTAAATAATACCACTTTAAGCGTTAAAATGTTGCACTTAGCAACCAACGTCTTCACAGCTTTAATATGATATAGTGTGGGGAGCTGTTTACTTTAGTGGGGTAGTCAGCCTAGTTTAGCTATTTAACCCGCTATTCCGTCATTAAGAGCTTCCATTCCACACTCCGACCACATTCCTTCTTACCATATCTTCCTCGCTGCCACGACTTCATCCAGAATGCCTTCAGATCTGGATCTCCTTACTGACATGGGCTTTGACCCTGAGCGAGCCAAGATAGCGGTGTCTAAAACTGGAGGCTGTGAGTTAAAATCGCCAACCAGGACGTCTCGGACTTCTCAACTAGCCTATATATACTAACTCATTGTCGCCTAACCCAGTACAGGGTGCACTCGAATGGCTAGAAGCCAACCAAGATAAGTCACTGGAAGAAATCAAAGAGTCAGCCGAGAAGCAATCAGACCAAGCCGGTGGATCGGATGAGCCCCCAGAGCTAAAACCGGGAGAAGTACCAAAGAGCCTGGTCTGCAATGAATGCGGCAAACGATTCAGAAGTCAAGCACAAGCAGAGTTCCATGCCTCTAAAACGGAACATGTCGATTTTTCAGAATCAACGGAGGAGATTGCCCCGCTTACAGAGGAAGAGAAGAAAGCCAAGCTAGAAGACCTGCGCCAAAGACTGGCAGAGAAGCGGTTGAAAATGACTGAACAGGATAAGAAAGACCAGAAAAGGAACGAGGTTAGATAACTATTAAAGTCCCCCTCCTAGACACAGTCTAGATTTGTAACCTAACTATTTTATTATTAGGAAATCCGCCGCAAGAGTACGAAGGAGACCCAGGATATGAAAGAAGAGCTTCAAAAAAAGGAACAGTTGAAGGAGGCTGCGAAAAAGAAACGCGAAAAACAAGAAGAAATCGAGGCAAAAGCACGGATAAAAGCCAAGATCGAAGCAGACAAGCAAGCTCGAAAGTTGAAGGCAGAGAAGGAGAAGGCAGAACGCGAAGGTCGAGTTTTGGAGGAACAAAAGTCACAGCCTGCGCCAACTGCCACCCCAGTAGCCTCGAAACCCGCTTCGGCATATACAGAGACTAGACTACGATTGATGACACCCTCTGGAAATGTAATCAAGTCGTTCCCTGTTGATACAACACTCTTCGAAGTGGCAGCCGCGCTACAAGAGGAAGGTAACCAGGTGAATAGCTTTACACAGACATTCCCAAAAAAGGTATTCAACCAGGAGGACTTTGGGTGTACGCTGAAGGAGTTGGGTTTTGTACCTAGCGGAAGCCTGATTGTGGGTTGAGAATTCAGGTCGGCTTTGACACATCCCTCGTGCCTAATCATTAACATAACTAGACGGGCTTGAATTATGATACCATGGAGACTTCATACGAAAGAGGCAGTAGTTATTAGCTTCCAATGTATACATATATACCGAAGTATCAATTTGGCTTGTTTAGATCTTGCGGTGGGGATAGGCTATCTCCACGTGATAAATTAGTTACGTAATAAGCTTTCCAGGCGCGTTAGGCAAACAGCCAAACGCGTTGATATGTAAAATCACTTTGATACTGAGGATCACTATCAAGCTTTGAATTATCAGTCTCTCGTGCAGTATATGTTATCTTAGATCTCTTTGACAACCATGCCCGCGTAAGTGATACCCAACCGTCTTATTTCCATGTTCTCATGGCCATTCATTCTAACACACGCGTTGACCAAACTATAGAATCGGTGACCAGCATCGACTTAGACCAGGGGAAAATCCTGCGATCTCCGCGAATCCATATTTACAAGAAACTCGACGGACCGATGAATATTCTTCTGATGAGGTTGCCTCACTGAAAGAACGGCTAAACAAACGATTGGGCCCAGAATTTATCTCATCCAGGCCTTCGGGAGGAGGGAAGGTACATTATATCACTGCAGATAAGTGTATCAACCTTGCGAATGAACTCTTCGGGTTCAACGGGTGGTCGAGTTCGATACAGAATATAACACAAGATTTTGTAAGTCAGGTCTCAGCGAAGAGCCTTTCAATTAGCTAGCAACTTACGTGTATATCATCCTGATATAGGCCGATGAGAACCCTGCCACCGGCAAAGTCTCAGTGGGACTATCTGTTATAGTGAGGGTGACACTAAAAGATGGAACCTATCATGAAGTGTGTTTGCCCCGATAACCACATTCCCATCACGGTTAATTCTGATAAGTTGGATAGGATATAGGATATGGCCACATAGAAAACTGCAAAGGAAAAGCTGCTGCCTTTGAAAAGGCCAAAAAGGAAGGAACCACAGACGCTTTGAAGCGTACCCTGAGAACATTCGGTAACGTACTCGGGAACTGCATATACGACAAAGAATACCTCTCTAAAGTGGTAAAAATCAAAGCAACGCCCGTAAGTTATGTTACGCCCATAGACTTCATTATGCATGCTCACAATAGTCCCCTGGATATAGGTGAAATTTGATGTCGATAACCTTCACCGTCATGTGGATTTTGTTCCTCCGAAGATACCACCAACATCATCTACTTCCAGAATTGTAAAGCATGAACCTCAGAATAATGGCCAATCTAGCCTCCCTGCGCGGGTTCCTGATATTATTGCAGATGATTCTCTTGCCTTTGAATTTGAAGGAGAGTTTGGAAGTGAGATTACCCCTTCCTGTTCCCAGGATTAGCTGAACCTAACTTTTTGAAGGTGATGTATTTGATGAAGCAGACTTTGCAGAGCATACTTCATTACACCCGGATGAGGTGGCTTTGGAAGAGCCCGGCCATACAGCACGACCTGCTGCACAACATGGGCCATCAGCATCTCGCCAGCCTGCAACGACTGGAAACTTTACGCATACAAACAAAACGCCAGTCTCAGCTAACGCTAGAAATACCACAGCCTCTGGCTCAGCCAATGGTGCTACCCCACTAAACGGCCTAACGGCTGATAGACCCAATGGGGCCAATATGAATTCATCGGATAGGAATAATACAACTGCACCGAAGACCCCAGTCCCGGGCAAATTCGCACAAGAGAGATATAATGATCTCAAACAACCCCCGGGAAAGCAGGCTATGCAGTCAAATGGTTCCCTGTTTACGCATCCTGCTGATCAAAACCGCCCAAAATCCGATGCTATCTCAAATAATGATGGGTACAGGTCCCCCACCGCACAAGTTAGTGAGGACAAGCTACCAGAGGATCATGTAGTCGGGTTTTTCTCTGCCCGGGCTGCGGAAGCTTTGATTAACGACCCTTACACCGCTGCAAAATCAGCTCCAGCATTTGATCCTCAGTTTGATAGCCCTTCAATACGCAAAACCGCTGGTATTGATCATACTAGTTCTTCGCCTATTGTTAGAAAATCACTCCAAGCCTTACAACAACAATCCGCGAAGGCCCCTCTCCCAGGTGCTAGACCAGTTGTATCGACTTTCAGTCATGGGCCCAATACGGGACCTGCCGGTAGGCCTCCTATGACATCCTCCTACCGGCCCCCAATGAGACGATCCATGGCAGCAGCGAACAATAGCAGTACAAATAACCCCTCCAATATGCCACCACCCTTGAAAAACAACAATAACTACGGCAACACTGTTCCTCAACAAAATGAGCATGGAAAAAGGCCACCATTAACAGACACAACAAATGTTGTGCCTGGGAATGAGTGGTCAAAGAATCAGCCGGATGTGACAAAAAGGACAAGGATTGAGGACTCCAATATTCCCAAATTAAACCCGCAAGGCTAACAATAGCATCACAATTTGCTATATCTGGGGGCGCTGGTGAATGTTGAATGATTGATTCTTTATCTTTACCCTTAATTACCTACCCTTCGTTTTGAGCGACTTTTAACGAACTTGCAGCGATTATTTGCTATATTTCTACGGAGTTTTAGGTGCCTTTTTTTTGGGCAATGGCTTGGTATTTATTCTTGCTTGATATTTCTCACCTTTTATTCTAACAGGACGGTCAATCTTCCATTAGGTCATGTATATATCCATCTCCTGAGTGGGTTATAATGCAGGAGTACGAGGCTCACAAAAGACGGCTTTGAAGGGCTGGTATTCTGTAATATCTCTAGATTATTTGATCATTTATCTGGCAACCCATTGCCATAGGCTAGAGTAATAAATACAAATAAAACAAGCACAAGGAATATTTTTGCTTCTTTTTCGGGTCGAGGTTTTTAGGGATGTATCGGAAATGGATTCCTGCTCACAGAGAGATGTGAGGATTTCTTTGGGTACGGTGATCCTGGTATTCGGACCGTTACCCAGAGCGCTTCTGAGGTAGAAGAACGTGGAAATGAATGTAAAAAACAAGCGAGACAGAAGTGGTTGCTTCACACTCTGAGATCGTAAATCAAAGCGCCGTTTAGTATGAAGAAACAGCCAGGATCCTTGGTTGGTACTCCTAGGGAAGTGAGGAGAGGATCAAAGCATGACCTCAACGAGCCTCGCTCCACCATAAATTGAAAGTCAAGTTGTAGTGTATTCACAGCTCAGTGAGCATACTTGGAGCTCTCCATCCCATTTTTCTTCCGTTCAACGGGCGCATTATTGACTGGCACCCCAGAAACAGACACTCCACGCTTTGCCATCTCGGCAACGAAAACATTCTTCGGCTCACGGGGTCCTTCAGGAGCAGTCGAAGAGAATCTAGAGTGATGACTGGGCGTGGAACGTCCAGAATTAGATGCACCGAATGCAAAAGGTATGGAGCCCCGGCCCGGTGGAAGTGGTCGAAACGTACTAGCAACAGGTGAAAGCGAAGAAGATGAGTTTCTGCTATGTTCACTGAATTTCTGACCAGGCTCGATGGGCTGTGAAGTTGTAAAGTTCGTTACAGGGTTTATGTTCTCATTTGTCTTCCTAGCTGGGGACGCGTGTGGTTTTAATTGCTGTGCCGTTAATGAACCGGAGTAATATTGCATTGTAGCAGCAGTAATTGGGAACTGAGGGGCATCCCTCATTTTAAAGCGTGATTTAGGAGCTATAGGAACAGTATAATCAATGACTGCAGGCTCATTGTTTGTGTCTGGCACAGCCGCAGATACAGGGGCAGAAAATGGTGGTAATGCCGAAATGGACGTGACACCAGGAGCCGGGGGGTAAGTGAACTGGAAAGGCCCGTTGAATGCAGAAGCTTGGTTATTGCCGAAGTGATAAGCCCCAGTAAAGGTAGCTGTCGGGGTAAATGTAGTAGGGCATTTTTGATTTGGCTCATACTGCTTGGACTGGGATTCAGCGTTGGGCCATGATGACTCGCTTTTCATCGGCCTTCCAGGCAGAAGATGGTCCCCAATGATAAGAGGTACCCCATGGGGAAACGTAGCTTGAGGCTGCGAGATCGTAATTCCGGGTATATCATAAGCAACTCTCTGGTTGAAGGTACTACTAATGTTCTCTTGGGCTTTTAAATCATTTCTTTCACTTACTTCAGGCTCACGCTTAAGTGTTTGACTATAGAGAATTAGTGTATTATCTGGCTAATTTTAGGGTTGTGGACTTATTTACCTGGTAGACAGGACAAATGGATCAACGACATTACCGTTAGTGGTATCAGAAAGTGTATTTAGGGTAGCTGACTTTTGCTCTGTAGTTGGGGGAGCCACAGACTGAGATAGGCTAGGCGGAGCCTGGAGAGACTGTGCATTCTTCGGTTTGAAAGTCTGGCTAGCTGATTTGCCAACTTCTGGAGCGTTTTCAACGGCCAAGTCTTCTTCGAGGCGATTCTTTCTCTCTTGGAGATAAATAATAACGTCTGGATCAAGTATTGATTGATTGGAAAGAAGTTTGGTGAGCTTTAATAATTCCTGTTTAGCAGCATTTAACTCTTCCTTTAACTTCACTTCGGTAAACCCAGGCCGGGTTTGTGGAGTGGACTGTATGGTCTGGGTGGTCGCATGCTCTGGCTCTTCTGGCTCGTCACTTATGTCAAGTAGACTTGCTCCAACATTTGCTTCCTCAAATTTGTAGCCGTACTTGTCAATTTGCGCAGCAAATGGCTGTTCAGGGGAAGTACAAAGGAAAAGGTCGTCAGCACCATAATCTTCCGAGCGTGTCGTACGCTGAGGTTGGGGAAGGTAAGAACCGAACCCATGGTCTGTCTTTATTGACGCGGAGTCAGTTCCCTGGCCATCACGGTTCTCGGGAGGATTTGTAAATACATCTATTCTAAGGGGTGCAGCCGGCGTAGGAGTTACTACCGGAGGAGCTGCAGCAAGGCCTGATTGAGGAGGTGCAGTTGTCTCTACTCTACACTGAGCTGGCGGCGGAGGAGACTGCCTAACTACCTGCGGTGGGCTGGGGGTTGGGCAGACCTGGGGGGTAGGCAGGACAGAGGCCATGTCTGTGCCTGTGTTCTTATCAGGAGGTTCATCGCCTTTGGGGACCGTTGGCAACTCTGTCGGCTTGCCTGCCGCGTGAATTTGGACATTAGAAACAGCGGCCATAAAATCATCCCCATCGGCCAGCAGGGACTCGAAATTGACATTCCTAGGAGTAGCATTAGCGGGGAACAGAGTCCAATCTCCAACGAATTGTATATAAGGTAGGAACCTACGGGGGAGCAGCAAAGACAGGGCGCCTGGCCTTTGTAACCGGAGGCAGGTTTCTTTGCACACCATATCTCTTTCTCTCCGGCCTTCCACGAGAAATAGGGGGGTTATTGCAATCTTTAGACGGGTCTGAAAGTTTCTGTGGAAGAGGCGCAATGGGTGCTTTCGTTTCTGGTGGGAACGAAGGAGGAGTCAATCGGCGGGGATCAGATTTTGTCATATCACCTCTACCCAACGATCCACTCCGGAGAGCATAGCTGTGGCTAAGTTGAGGAGACTTAGCGGGATAATGTTAAGAAGTAAACAGATGATGTACTTACATTGCTGCTCCGCGGCCACGAGCACCTGCAGCCCCCCCTCCGCGGCCGGATTTTAGAGCCCCACGGGTGGCTTTTTTACCTCTATTTGAGTTGGCCAAATCCTCCAAAATACTTCCTTTGACTTTAGCCTCGAGGGCCATTCTATGAGTTTGGCCATCTAACAGTGGCTCGAGCTTCTCTGAATCAAGATTCTCATCCAGGGTTTCATGATATGCTATTCCCGTCAGCGTTGATACAATGTTGGGAAAAGATCATTCCAGGATATTTCTAAAAGTACTTACTCGCCCAGCTGTTCAATTTATCTCTATTGGCCTCAGCAAGACTGTAAGCTTCAGTTCCCTTCCGGTTTGAATCTCTAGTGGCTTCGATTTGCTCAATGTTCATGCGATGAAGTTTGTTTGGGCGATCGACAGTTGATATATGTTCACGCCGTGCAGTACCCAAGTCGGCCTATATTTTGAGGAAGTCCCATATCAGCCATATACTGCCCAATCCCTAGATGGAGGCCACATTGAAACAACCTACCATTTGAAGAGCCTTCATACGGGTGGCACGCTCATCATCTACCTCTGGTATTTCCGCCATCTTGGGAGTAATTGGGCGCGTCAAACGCGTCTTTCGTTGATTGTATTGATACTCCTCGATAGGAGATACTATTCCTGCCAAATCTCTCTATAGAAATTTCCGTGTCTAGGGTGAGACGTAGCCCTCAGCGAGCGCCTCTAGTGTAGCAAGCTAATCAAGGTTAATACTCTCTGTATCCTTGGGTCAGCATTGATATTCCAGTAAAACTGCAGCTTCATTATTCATTATGCCAGTATAGAATAAAATCTGTTTAAGCCATGTAGACTGGCTCAAAGCTGACTGTGTTTGCAAAGCTGATGCTCTCAAGACAGTGAAGCAGCAGATGCTACAAGAAAGCCTTGGAAAGAGAAATTAGCAGGATAGAAAGAGATATAACTTACAAGTCAGTATTAATCATCCTCAATAATTTTTGACAACATAGAGAGAATATGTTTTTCTTTGGCAGGATAGAAGATTGAACTGAGAAGAAGCTGAGTAGAAGATAAGTTGAAGATGTTGTGAAAAGCCAGAGTTTGGTGGGTTAAACAAAAAGAACTTGGTCACCACAGACAACGCTCAGACGGGATAGGAACAAAAAAGGGAGGGGAGTTTAAGACGGATAGAAGGTGAAGACAGAATATATAGTGAAAACAGAAAGTCTTCAGATAATATTCACAATCTTCACTCACCGCACCAGGAAGGAATTGAAGCAATTGTCCTTAGTATTGGGTATGACATTTAACGGTAAAAGACATCAGCAGCAGAGGTAGAGAAAGCATGAAGGATATTAAGGATAGAGATGGTTGAAGAGCTGTATGGATCTCTAATGCTTTTTTAATATTTTGCAGAAAGATTGGGTATGAATTGCTAAGAAAGAAAAAGACAATTTTGGAGATATTGAGATAGATACAGCTTTCAATCTACAGCAGACACAACCTCTAGATTGAGAAGCAGCAGAAACAGCTGAGGTATAGGGGCAAGAAACTTCCTCTGAGTGTCTAGATATGAATATAGCTAGAGGTAGAGTTGAGGATATCAGTGAGAGTAATGATATTCAACAGCAAGTTTCTTTACTGATTCAAACAATGAAAAGATTTATGATATACGGATAGTTGCAGGGTGATAGGAAGATAAACGGGAATTAAAATATAAAATCTGATTGCAGATACTGGATCTCCAATCATGCGTGTTTAACCGAAAAAAAGGGAAGGGGCAGAATAAAAGGTATGAGCTGGAGTCCCTTTAAGACCGAATGGGCGCCGGCCATAAATTGGATATCAGTGTAAGCCCTCGCCAGAGCTCGAGATAGAAAAGAATATGTCTTTATGCATCTAGTAATAACAAGGTAGAATGTTGGAGAAGAAAAGTACAAGTATCGTTTCGATTAAACGGTTAGTAGTTCAACAAGTCATCGCACCCCCCTCATCTAGGATTGAATAGTGTTAGCTAAAATTGATTGATGGAGATGATGTAAATATGCTGCTTGAGAAAGCGGGAAACACTTACGCTTAATCATTTTTGCTGCCGTTTGAAGAACGCTAATGCACATAACCACGGTACCAAACGCGATGCAAAGTATAGCAGGGATCTTTGACACCCAGCTCTGTTTGCTGAGTTTTATGTAGCAGAGTGGTGGGAGGATGTACGCGAGAGCACAGGCACTTGTTGCACCGATAAGCTCCAGCACAGCACCCAGATCACAGGTGATCAGTGCCATGACCACAGATGTAACCACAAGGGAGGTAGTGAATATAAGATGACGGTTGAGGTTGAAAGGCTCCTCAGGGAAGTAGAATGTAGTCATGACTGACCTGCAGACGAACGCCTCAAGGGGTAACGTGGCCAGCATGTTCAGCCCAAAAAAACTATTTTATACTGTTAAGCAATATTCGAAGGATAAGGCATATTGTAGTCCAAAGGTAACCTACAGTCTTGCAATATTCACTATCACGTTATCTGGAGGGAAATTGTTAAGAATATTACCCTTAGTATTTGATCCAAAGGTTAAGAAACCGGCAACCGCCATAACAAGGCACATAACCATAGATATAGCCGTCGAGTAATGGGTTACACGGGCAAAGCGGTCCATGGTAGGTTTCCTCAGGGAGCCATATATCAAGAGGCTGTTGTGATCTAAAATCCAAATTTAGCAATAAGTCCACAGTAATTTCTTTCTCTGGTCGAATGAACATACGGCACACAAAAGCTGTATATTAATTAGTAATGCATTGACTAATAAAACAAGAATGTTCAGATCACTCTTCTTACCAAACGAAATAACCCCAATAGCCTGGACCACACCGCCGTTGATAAAGAGAGAATCTTTGATCTCCCCTCTAGCTTCAGGAGCTACCTGGATGCCTTCAACAATGACAGTAATCAAGATTACCACCATGCTAACCAACGCAAAGGTCGAAGCTTTGGCCAACTATACAGACAAAGGTCAGATGAAGACAAAACTAGCTATAAGAGTTGACTACATACCTTGGCAATGTCCCGGTATAAAGACAGTGGATATGATATCCCAAGAACAAAAATAATAATAACGGCACGTCTATTCGTCAACAGCCATAGAACAGGCATATCTCTGATAGAAGGAGATATCCCCATCACAACATGAGGTATGGTGTCACCAACGATGATGCAAAACGCAATCATACCCCCAAATGCAAACGCCCATTGTGCCACGGATATCGCTATCAGCCCAGTTCTACCGTAGCAAAATTCCAAGGTAGTCTGGAAAGAGTCGGCCCCACTGAGCTTAGAGTTCACGACAATTAAGCGGATTGTCCAATCGACAGTACAGGTAAGGACGACGAGTAGAATGATACCTGTAGTCAATCCAGCCTGGCGGAAAGCATACGGTTGCCCAATTATCCCAGCACCGATTATACTGTTTGCCATATTCATGAACGCACTACCTAAGCCGCTCTTTGGTCGGGCGCTCTCCAGGTGGTCTTCGGGGATAAAGTCGGAGGTAGCAACAGTAACACTAGGCGCTTCTATGTTTGTGAGTAACGGAACAACCTGGCGGGAGCGATCTCCCGGTACTTGAGCGGCCCCTTCATCTAGGTAGTCTTGGTTCGCAACCCAGTCTGCATCACCACGGCCGCCAGATGTCCGGCCTGTTTCCACGTCTGCATCGTCCTGGATGTCGAACCTGACCCGGTTTGACGTTCGGGCCGTTCGAGTTTGACGAGTAGGAGAGGTCGAAATGGACGAAGGTAGCTTAGGAGTCGAATCTGCTTGCGATGACGGCGTGCCGGAGGGTGACGAAGGCTCCTCGACAACTAGATAGTCATCGTCTTCATGAGATCCATGGGAGAGAAGAGAACGGCCTTCTTCCTCGCTGTATTTCGATGCTTCAGCTGTGCGAACATCTAATTTGTCTCCTCTGTTCATAGCTACATATGGAAATCATTCTCCTTGGGCATAAAAAAAGAAGAGTGGTAGCAACCAAGATTATTGAAACATTCCCAAGTTTCTCCAGGCTTAGAAAAAAAAAAGGGGACCAAAAAAGCCCCTTGTTTGTTTCCAACCAGTTAAATATGCGTTTGCTGACTAAGGACCAGGCTTCGCATACATAGCAACTATAAAACACGGTGTCATCCTGCTCACAAGGGGGCTTTGCTGCGGCGCAAGGGCTGATCCAGCAGGAACCTCCTGGTTTGTAGGCCCAGTAGGATCAATATTTGTGCCTTTGTCGTGTCGATTCATTCATAATAATGGACGGCTGGTACTTATCGAGATCTGGCGTGCTTATAATTTCAGCCCAGGAACCCTGTTGAATCGATTCCATATCAGCCGGCTTATTATTTGGCTAGCCATTCACAATTTATTTCTATCTGATAAGACACATATTTGTCTTAAGACATGGCGAAGAAGAGAGTCTTCCCTTTTAGACGTCCCTTCATGGTTCGCAGGTACTCTAAAACAAAAGGATTAATATATGGGGAAGTAGAAAGACATGGGATTACCCACCAGAGTCTGAGATGCCCTTAAAATATGCAAATCTTTAATTGTATACCTGGATTTTCTCCAATCTTCGAATATTTATGGCCTGGATGATGTTTTCCGTACAAATCGATGAGAAGACGTCGGATTACCAAATTAGGAAGAATGACGTCGCCTCTTCAATGTCAACTAATGACATGCAATTCAACCATCAGTTGCTTTTCTCAGATATCATACTCGTCTGCTTTGTTTATTTGATATTGTCCTAGATCTTCTCTAAGATAATATTTATGCTGGACGAGTTGAGATGGCAGATGTGTCATGCCATTGTATCAACCTAGGGTCGACCATCCATGAAGAATATAATCATAACACACGGCTTGTGATATCTAGCTCCGTTCAAGTCTCCCAAGCTGATGACTCTATACTGTTTTTAGGGGAGGGTATCTCTGTAGAACACCTCCTCGGGCGGGATTTTTGGGTCTCCTGGAGCTCCAATTCTACTCTACGACTTAAAATCTCCGTCAGAATGCAGGCTTCTTTAACAAGGAATTCCTCCACGCCAGTCATCCTACAGCAGATTTTAGATATACTCACTAGATCATCGGTATGCTCAACCTCGTCCTATATCCATCGATTCGTAAGACTCTAACTTCCTTGCATAGATATGGTCTGCCCTTGGCCTCCATGTCACTTTGAACAACGAAGAAATGGTTCTTCACAATGAAACGAATGTGCTTAATATCAATTTACAAGCTCAACCGAACAAAGCCCAGATTACAAGCTATGGGTTAAACAGGTTTCCAAGGTCGCTCGGCATATTGCTCAGTGGGAATTCATTCATCCGTCCACCGCCAGAGATTCCTACAATCCAAGTCCGCGAAGTTGGCATTCTGCTTGACTTCTCAGGCGCTTCCAGCTCTGTAACCTCAGCGGTCGTACCGGAGGACAAGTATACTTACAGTATCCATTCATATGTGCCTTTGTTTGATTCCGACGGATGGGAGTCACTGGATAATTCGTCCCCCTTCTCTAGCCAGGAATCAAATTCTACCCACAGTTCCGTCAATTCGAACTCAGGCTCACCCGCGTCTGAGACACAGCCTTCTAACTGGTCCGAAAATAATTCTATCCGGCCGTTTATTCCCCTCTTAAACGCTGGATTACGTACCCTTCTGCGTATGCCATTACCCAAACATAGATTAATAAACAATCAGTCTTCAAATGAGCACCAAATTAGCCTTGCAAAGTTATCGCCGAGTATTTTCAGTCCAGGGTATAATTTGGTAAGCAGCGCTACTCTAATGGCACAGAAGTAGAATCTGTCATCTAATACATTTTGATCTAGGCTACGCACCAGCGTTCTTGTTTTATACCGCTGATAGTTAAAGGAATTAGTTCTATGCTAAAAAATACGGATGTTAGTTTATATGGACCAACCGTTTCGCGAATCCATGAGGTCTACAGACACAAATACCTGGCTACAGAAGCTGGTCCAACTCTAGCCTCCCCAGACATGAAGAATATTTTGAGATGTTTATTATGGGTACAAATGCAACATTCTCTTCGTAACTCTGATGAAGCGCGGAAATTAAGACATCCCTTCACAACTACCCCCCCTGAGCGCACCTTGAAAAAACACGAAATACCCTACTGCTCGCTGAGCAAGTTACCAATTACAGAGTCAGCCGATATCCCCATTGATGCCAACGGCCGTCCCGATCCTGATTGGTATTTGTTCGATGATGAAGAAGACGAAGATATCTTGTTATCCGATGAAGCTTACTGCGAACAACAAGAAAAATGGTACGATATATCTACTACACAGGAAACTGCAGCTCATGCAGATGCTTCTGATTTACAGACTACCTTATTAAAAACCAATCTGGTACTTGGCTCGGACGGCATATTATCGTCGTCTCCATGTTTACTTGCAGAGGTGGACATGGATTCTCTATCTGACCCGGAGATAAGAGAGGACTTCGACCTGGATGTTGGGCTGGCAATAGATATGAAAGCAGAAACGGAGTTGACTATGGGTATACTACAATCTTCTTCTCCACTTATTCCAGCATCTCCAGCATACCAGCCTATGGAGTTATTTAATATCCCCGATTTAGACGGCAGTGATATAGAGATGATGTTATAATAACCATTCACATCCATCCGGTTCCTCTCGGATTGATAGTTATCCATAGCTAACTTACACGTTGATCTATTCTCATCATAACAAAATAGATATATTAAAGGCTTTAAAGTAGTATGCCATTAGACCTACATACATAAATAAACATGAACAAAGGAGATCCATCAATAAATAAATTTAACAGAATGCCATCCATGCCATCCACTCCCATTTGATCCCATGGCCTTTATAAGCCCCGCCCTAAATAAGCGGAGGAGAATGAGATAACTAGGATAGAAAAAACGTGACCACCAACATATGGATACAAATCATTGAAGAAGCACCGGAAAAAGCAAAGAAAGGAGCTATCAATAAAAAAGAAGAAAATGTGCATGCACATCGAGCAGAATTCCGATTAGTCGTCAAGTGAGGGGGAGCGGACGAAAAGGGCAAGAAGATACAAAAACAACGTCGGGAGATGAGACATCAACGAAGAAATACTGTCTCCTTTTTTCTCCCATTTTTCCTTTCATCATTCACATCATTCAACTTTTATTGGGTTCCCTGTCTTCTCCTCTGTGGATGGAAGGGTGTCTACTAGGAATGGCCCTGAGCCTTGCTCTACCAAGTAGATACCCTTCCATCACATCTTCTTGCCATGTGCGAGAGAAAATATCTCAGCTATGGGATGGGGAACAAGAAGTTAATAGAAACCTCAAAGAACTGGACAAATAAAGCACCAAAACGCCCATCCATAAGCAGAAACACCCTTTCCGGTTTATTCTGGACTTCCACCCACCGATATTCTATTTTTGAGTGCGTATTCGACGTTTTCCGACTCCGATGCTCCAAACTTGAACTCCGCTCCGTGGAGATTGACTGTGGTACGAGCGTTAAATAAGACATGACAAACGCGAATTATTGATTTGGGAATGGAGATAGCAAGAAGAGAGAAAAAAACCTACAAATAAATAAAGTCAAAAAAAGGGGAACAAATGGCCTCCATTAAAGACTGTTGGTATGTCGAAGTTCATTGATTTCCCCATGGAATGTAGTAGGAGGTGCACTAGTGCTAAGCTCCGGTTTTTTTACTTTATTGCCATTGACATAGTAGTTTTCTTCTTTCCCGCCGTCAAGAGTATATTTGAGAGGTGGGAAAGTCGGGAGCCATTTATCAGCACCAACCTTTTTGACGAGATCAGCAACTAAGGTCTCATCGAAGTTTTGGATGTAATTGCGGTCTAAAACTCGAGTCTTCGGAGATGCGTGCTGTATATACTCGGCTAAAGCAGCTACGCAGGTCCACCCCTGCGCTTTGCGGAAACAGGCCATGACACATCCAGTACGATGCTATTCAATGAAATCCTTAGTAAGGTCATAAAGGCCTGATGTTGAAGGAGGAATCAACAACAAAACAAAAAACATACCTTTCCCTTATTACAGTGAACCAAAACAGGATGGTTCCTGGGCTCAAGCAAGATGGTCAACACTTCAATGATAGTGCTGATAGGGGTATAGACATCAGCCTGTTTGTTTGCAAGAATTGGGATAACGTAAGATGTGATTGCGTTGTCCCTGACGAAAGCAATATATTCAGGAGACCACTTCTCATCGACAAGAGTCCTGCTTGTGTGATCAGTAAGATTCAAAGCTGAGAAGCAATCTCTTCTTTCGGGGATTATGCCAAGAAGTACTTACACGATCGTCTTCAACTTAAGCTGTGCAAGGCTGCTGAGATGGACAGGCATGGGAAAGCTACTTCTGTAGATGCCTTTAACAACCTCTGTGAAGTTATTCGGCATACCAATACCATGAGGTGTTGGTGGACGGCTTGGCCCGCTTTCAAAGCCGCAGCCATTAACTTCTTGCTCTGGAAACAACCGAGAGAGAAACCGTTAGAGACAATCAGGGGCAGGACTCCGCAGTCAAGCAACATTGCTCCAGTCTCGAAGCAGGAGCAGGATTTATGGAGTACATGGACAATCACCAGTATCTCCATCACCCAAAACAACAGTGATGGAGGCGAAGAGAGAGGAAAATACCTGGTTTTGCCTTGTCACCACCATTAGACGTCACTGACAACATTGACTCTTCAACACTACTTGTCTTTGTCGCTGATTTATCGCCCATATCGAACAGTACTGTGAGTTGTTCGTTCCTCTACTTTCCAGCTTGAGATGGGGGCTGGTAAACAAAGATAATGGATGACACGAGGGGAGGGTATGTCTTATGCCTTAGATCCTTGGAGAAGACGTACAAGGTGGGAGGGCGAGAGTGAAAACGAAGAGGGGAGCGGTCGTGTTCTCTTTTCACGAATGGAGAGAGCTTGAAGCCTAGGTCACGAGATCTCAAGCTCTAAAGGGGACGACTTTTTTTTTTTTTGGCAGGCTCGACGGGAGAAGCCCTGACGGTTGTTTCTTGTCTGTGGACTTCTCTCTTGACTTCGGGTTGGACGGGACAGACCGTAACTACAGCCGCCAAAGATGCAAAGGAGCTTTACGAAGGATATCTGGTATGGAGCTAGCTATCCAAAGGGAAGAAGCGCAGAAAAAAAAAGTAGAGCCAACAACGACAACTAGACGAAGCACCCAAAAGAAATCAAGTGAAATCACCCAGTACTGGGGGGGTATACGGGCTTCACAGATGATATCGGCTCCACAAAGAGGTATTTGAGGGGAGATGGGAGATGCAGGAAGCTTCGGATTTGTCCAGAGCGTCGGGAGGTTTTTGTGATGTATAAGATGAGCCGAGCCAGGAGGACAGCAGCGATCAGGAAAAGTAGAGGAGCAGCCCCGACGGCTGTTTATTTTTTTTCTTCAACCTCCTTGTTCCTTATCCGCCGATGGGACAGTCTGAAGCACTGGTCTCGCGTGAAAGATCCATGATGAAGGGTTTGGGAAGAAAGGTGACCGGGGAAGAAGGAAAAGGAAAACCAGAAGAAAAGAAAAGAAAAGAAAATGAGACGACGACCAACGGTTCGAGGTGTTACGAACCAGGCGCGTGTAGCGGTTTATCCGCCACTGCCGCTGCTGTTCGCTTCTTGATGTCTCGTTGAACCTGGTTCCCTTATCTTCCTGTCAATCAGAAGAAGTTGCTTCTTTTTTTTCTTGGTTGACAAGCATGAGTCGATTACATCATCAAGCGGAAGTGGATGTTCCGCTCCGATAGGCCGCCCTCCACGTGTTCTCCTGCCAAGCCTCGAGCTTTGCAGCGGAAAAAAAAAACGAGATCAAACCGTTTGTTGCTTTGCTGTGTAAGCGGCAAAAATGCTCGGGGTTGGTAATTCTGGCCTTGCATCGCTTAGCTCTTCTTATGTATTCGTAAAGACAAGAAAAAAGAGCCCACTTGGACAGGAATCAAGCATCTACTATGTACGAGATATTTTACGTATACGCTGCAGTTCTTCATGGGTCGGGTGCAGATCGCTTGCTCTGGGGAACGCCGATCTGCAAGGTAGAGCGAGATCCTGCAGCATGGGCCTTGCCTCCTCAGGTGATAAACATACATACATATAATACGTAGCAGGATGGTGACATCCAAGACATAGGGAGTAACAAATGGACGCTCTATTCTATTTTGTTTTCTCTATTGGTTATATTCTTCTAGTCTTATATTTCTCCTAGCCCAAACATACGAACCGAGTTGTTCCATGCCCTGCGAGAAAGTTAGCCTTTGTAAGCGAGGCGATATAACGATTCATGCAGCAGGGTTACTGTCAACTTACGCTTCACAAACTTCGTCCACCGTTATCCCCTTCACCGCAGCGATTACTTCGGCAACACGAATGATAGCCACCGGCTCATTCCTTCCTTTCACCATACATCCTTTCTGCCATTTCTCTTTCTTATACGATTTGGGCAGCGTAGATTTGACGTGCTTGTAACTCGCGTGAGAAGGCCGGATCTCGCACTAGAAAAAGCGAAGAAAATATCAGCAAAGATGAAAAGGGGCGCAAATATGTCAAGGTAAATGCAATACCCAGGGTCCGTCAGTTTCAATCTGTATCCTATCCAACGGCATGGCTTTGACGACTTCCAGGTTCTCCTCCGTCTTCAAACTACATCCATTAACCCCCAGGTCCAAACCGAGAGCTACAAGTCGATGCATTTCTTCCAGTGTCCCGGTGAAACTATGTACCAGTCCTCCCTTGGGTAGCTGCGGCAGCCGGGCGGAAAGTAGCCGTTCAAAGTCCTCACTAGCTGCTCGCGAGTGTAAGAAAAGAGGCAACTGGACTTCAACGGCGACGTCGAGTTGAGCCTCAAAGTACTTCAGCTGCTGATCCTTGGGCGATAGGAACAGCCTATCATAGTCTAGACCTATCTCCCCAAAGGCAACGGCGTGGCCCGATTCTTTGGCCGTTAACGCAAGGGCCTTAATTTCACTTAGGTATTTTTCAGGTCCTTCAGCATAAGAGTCAAAGAGTTTTGCGGAACATGGATGTACGCCGACAGTAGCATAACATAGTCCTGCTGAGCTTTTTTGTCAGCATATTGGGGGTATTTCACATAAATATAGGCAGAAACCCGCTGGGCGCATACAATGTTCACGAGCAAGGTTCACAGCATGCCGAGACTCATGCAAATCAGAGCCAGTGATCATGAACTTTCGGCAGCCAACTTCAACGGCTCGATCAATTATGTCCTGTAAATCATCCTCATGGACATCTTTACCATGATACTTGCCCCTAAATACCGGGTCTCCGAGATTGATCCCGATCTATGTCCCAGAGCAAAGAAAAGCGTGAGTAACCTAAATCAGTAATTCGGAATGAATTATGGATGGGCATAAAAATATATAAAATAACAGCCGCTCTCTCCTCAATCCACATACGTACATCGATGTATTTTCGCTCCTTGGTAGAGTTTTCCATGTCTGTAGCCGCTGAAAAGTTGCGGGAGGGGTTTGAGCGAATATTTAACCTAGGAACAGCAGATTGGCTCATGAATAGGTCCCTTCTCCCATAATGTGTACTAGAGATATACCAGGCTATTTATCGACCGTATCATTAATGGCTGAGTAGGAGATTAGCAAGGGATTTCTGTTTGAACATACTCCTGGAAAAGCAAAGGTTCCCAAATGTTATAGTTGGTTTAGCAGCAACTCTTTGAATGCTGCGTTTGAACATATGATCCCCTTCTTTGAATGGTGGAATACTCCGACATTCATTTATCATCTCAAGCCATGCGAAGAGAGATCAAATTTTATTATATCACATGACAAGTATAAATTGTTACTTTTATATTATATAATCTACTTAATAATCCCAGCATGCTTCATTCGAACAAATTTTCCGTATCAAATCTCTGTTATATAGTTTAAACAGTTATCAAAATACCAATAACACACCAAAATTGCTCCAAATGTAATATACTCGAAGCTATATCAAAGTTCTATAGGGAGCACAATTTGATTATAAAGTAATATATTTCTAAACAAGGAGTCTATTAAAGATCCGAAACAGGCTTGCGCGATCCACTTCTATGAAAAGGTGGAAGAGAGCGGCGTAGTCTGTCTAGTAAGAGTAATAGATTATTCTTACTAGTACGGAATTTATAAAGGCCGGAATCCCATGAAAATCGACCTTCGAACTTTTTGAATAAACTCTCAAATCAATATTCTTATAAGCTCTACAGCGGCGTCAAAAATGTATGTTTTATGCACCAGTTTGCCCCTCAAATAAGCAGTAACTTACGTTCTTTTTAGCCAGGTTCTGGTGTATATTTATCTCAGAAATATAGCATAGCGTGATATTCAACTGTGTACGCGCGAATCATGGACTACTTGGTGTGTTTACTGACTGCGTCTTGACCCGCCCCCATCTGGCGGTAACAACATATGCACTAGCTACAATTCGAGACCTTTTCTTTGCTCCATTACTCACACCTACGGCTCTATGAGTATACACATGGCGAGAACTTCTTTACAACTCTAGCTTGGGGCTGGCCATGGATAACTTAGGCTTTAGGTTGGCCGCTTGGCCTGCGGCAAAACCATGAACTTTGCATAAACCTTGGAACATCCACCGAGAAGCCCTGCAAAGACGCCCTGCAGAGACAAAAGCGGACGACGGACGCCCCCACAGCAGAGATAACTAATAGCTCACCAGTTAATGGGAGACGAGAGACAGCCAACCATGTCGGCCGAGTTTAGTTTGTTTCACTAGTTATATATCGCTTCTGTGACAGGCCGGGACAGGATGATTTATTTCCAGCTTCGCGGCTTGCCCCCGATAAACCGCGGCCTCAGCTCCATACCGAATTCAAAACACATTTGAATATACGCGGGGTTGGCCCATGATCTGTCATTTTTTTACCGGGGAAGTGTGGAAACTATATTACACTATTTATCTTTTTTATATATAAACGGAACTAGCTTGCTGGTTGGTTCTGTGGCTCCGAGTCCTCACCTGCATTGGATATTTTACAAATCTTGAGACTCATTGTCTACTGCGGTTTGCTCATAGCTATATTTGCTAATATACGATACGACCAATCGATTGTGTGCTTTGTGAAGGAATAATTCTCTTCTTTAAGGGACAAAAAACCATTGCTGGAAAGAGGCTATTATTCAACGGCGGCTAAAAAGATCTTAAACACCAGGCTGGCCAAAAATGTCTACGAATTTGGTATCCTCACAAACAATTGCCAGACATAATACTACTTCTGATTGCTGGATTGTTGTGGACAATCAGGTTTGGGACATTACAGACTTCATCAACGAGCATCCTGGTGGCCCATCCAGTTCGTGATCATTTCCCCAATCTTTGAGAGGAAAAAAAGAAAAATCCTATGGCGAATAGTTGTAGGATCTGCTCTACCCGAATATATGCTGATTGATACATTAGTTATACTGAAATACGCCGGACGTGACGCTACAAAGGCGTACTCAGCAGTTCACTCCCCCAGCGTCATTCGCGAGGGCCTTCCGGCGGATAAACTAAAGGGCACCCTTGACCAGTCGACTATTGATGCTGAGTGGCTAAAGAAACCTCCTCAGGCAGCTTTCAAGGGTGTTGGAGAACATGAAAAGCCACCATTACATACTCTGATCAGCGCCCATGACTTCCAGCTAGTCGCCTCCAAGACAGCCCCTGCCAAAACGTGGGCCTTTTATTCCAGCGCGGCCAACGATCTCATTACCCGTGATGCAAACAAATCGTCCTTTGATCGGATCTGGTTCCGTCCTCGAGTGTTGCGCAATGTACGGGAGGTCAACACTACATCCAAAATTCTGGGCAGTAGCGTGAGCATGCCTCTGTTCGTCGCACCCAGTGCAATGGTGAAGCTGATTCACCCTGACGGCGAACTGGGTATTGCACGCGCATGTGAGGCAAAGGGTATCATGCAAGGCATCTCGAACAATGCATCTTTCTCCCTGAAGGAGATCAGCGAGGCAGCCCCAAACACCAAATTCATCTTCCAGCTCTACGTGAACAGGGAGCGTGCCAAATCTGCAGCGCAGTTGCGAGAGTGTTCTGCTAACTCACAGATCAAGGCTATTTGCATTACTGTGGATGCAGCCTGGCCTGGTAAGCGGGAAGCCGATGAGCGCGTCAAGGCAGACGAAAACCTGAGCTTGCCCATGGTTCCGGCGAAGGGTAACAACGACAAGAAAGGCGGTGGTCTGGGGCGGGTTATGGCTGGCTTTATTGACCCGGGACTTACGTGGGAGGACCTTAAGTGGGCACGACAGCACACGCACCTCCCGCTCTTGTTGAAAGGAGTGCAATCTGCGGACGATGCGATGATGGCCATGGAGGCGGGTATTGATGGTATCATGCTGAGTAACCACGGTGGACGGAACCTGGATACGAGCCCGGCGTCGATAATAACGCTGCTGGAGCTTCACCGACGATGCCCCGAGATATTCGACCGGATGGAGATCTATGTCGACTCCGGCATCAGACGGGGAACAGACATCCTCAAGGCCGTCTGTCTAGGGGCCACGGCCGTGGGTATGGGAAGAAGCTTTCTCTTTGCTTCCAACTATGGCCAGGAGGGTGTTGAGCACTTGATCGATAGTATGTCTTTCTCTTTCTCTTTTGCTTTCTCTTCTTTTTCCTTTCCCCTTTGACTAATTGCCTGCTCTAGTCATGAGAGACGAGCTGGAGGGAGCCATGAGAAACATCGGCATCACCTCTCTCGACCAAGCGGGCCCTCAGTACGTCAACACTGCTGACATTGACCACCTGGTGCCCAACTCGGCTTCTCATCCGTATGCAAGATCTGTCTCACGCCAGCGGCCATCTAAACTATAATGTCCGTTTAATGTTAGCACCCTGCGCGTATCTTCTCTTTCGCGAAGTGGATACATCCAGCCATCAACTGACATCCCAATGAGTGTTTACGCAACAGCAATACGGAGGAGAGGAAGTGTATGGAAGAACAGAGATGGATCAAGCTGCCGAGGTCGGAGGAGAGGAGGGAGGCCTCATGTCATGGCTTTCTTCCACTTCCGTCGCTTTCGGAGACTTCGCATGTTCTTCTTATAAGGGGCCGCTTTCTCTATCTCTCGTATTTCCTCCCTCTTTTCTTCCTCTTCCTCATCTTCTTCTTCTCTCTCTGTCTGTCTCGTTTCTTCCATCACCGCCCCTTCCCTTACCCTTGTCAGTTCTTCTCGTGGCTGGCCAGCCGGACTGCCGAATTGTGGAGTAAAAGGCGTACCTAATAATAATAAGCAAGTGGGTAAAAAGAGACGAGACGGCCTTGTTTTACATATAGCTTTCCCCAACCTCAACATCTCGCCCCCTTGCTCGCCGTGTAGAGTCACTGCTCTTCCTCCCCCCCCTTTTTTTCTATATCTATACAACAACTGCATGAATAGAATAGATTGGCTTGACATCTCCCGAAGGAACAAGACAGCTCCAGGAACAACTCGCCAACCTTTTTCCACTTTGGCCTTTCTTTTTAGCCTGTCAGCTCTATTGTTTGACTATATTTCTTTTTCCTACTTGGCAGCTTATACACAGAAGACGAAGAAGTAACACTTCCGGGGAAAGCAAGACTATTAATACAAGTTTCTGCTCTCTCTGGCCATCCTTTCGCTCTTCTCATATACACCTTTCCACGCCTCTTGCTCCCTCTACAATTGCTTGGTCCCCTTGATCCTATACACATACATCGACATAACCCATCATGGCTGCTCGTCGCTCTACCTCCCTCAAGGCCCTCAGGTCTCTGTCCCAACAACCTCGCCGCTCTCTTCATATCACTGGTGCCTACTCGGCCCAGGTCGCTACCGGACCAGACGTCAGCACTCTCTACCACTCCAGAACCCTTGCAGACCTCAGAGCAGAGTGCCAGAAGCGAAATCTCGGCGCCTCTGGAACTAAATCAGAGGTTGGTCCCTTCTCAACACTTTCTACCTAGTTGTAGAATTGTGAATTAACGTCCCTCCCAGCTTGTTGACCGCCTCTCGAACCACGATGTTCTCCAGTCTCGTGCATTTAGCATCGCAATGAGGCGTATCGATCGTCATGCCTTTGGCCAGCAGTCCGCCTCCCGACCCTTCAACACATCTCGCGCCAACAGGTCGCCTC